CGTCACACTTGAAGTCCACCTCACCGTTGAAGTACTTTTCATAGAAAACCTCCATGGGAATCTTGCTCTTGCCACGATAGGCAGCGCGATCATGCTCGCTGTGGAAGCTGAGGTAGTACTCGACGGGGCGACCGGCATACTTGGCCTTTTCGTTCTTGCGGGGAGAGATGGAAGAAGCTACAGACCAAAAGGCCATGAGAATGGGGATAGTGGTGAAGATAGCAAAGAAGATGGTGGTGTAGAAACCACCGCCAACTTGGCGAGCGAAGTACCATGGGATCAGCAACAAGAGGGCGAACAACAGAGTGTTGGAGAAGCTATCGCTGCCGGAGGAATCGGCCGGTACAGGGGCATTTTTAATGGCCGGGTACTAGGTAACAGGGAAACCATTGACAGTCAGTGTTTGATTTCCACGGCTCTGAGGTCTCATTGGAATGAGAAGAACAAGAATTGCCAGAGGATAAAAGAAGGGAGACAGCAAAGCGACTCACGGAGGTCGTCCGCACACCACAGTCATCAGCGGGAGTGATGCACGAGGCGGGAGGAGTTTCGATGTACTCGAAGTCCTCAAGGGACTCTGGATGTACAACCGTCATGACGGAGGAGACGAATTGACAGGATGAGGGGGAATTGAGAGAGAAGAGAGAAGAGAGGAGGGGAGGGGGGGGGGGGGGGGGGGGGGGGGGGGGGGGGGAAGGGAAAGAAAAGAGGTGGAAAGAGGAAGAGGACGAAAGGGAAGGATGGAAAAAGAGGGAGGGAGAGCGGCGAGTGCCTGGACGGCAGCGGGAGTGGATGTGGATGGATTGCTAGATTGGGGAGGAGCAGCATCGGATCCCTTTCATTCCAATTTATCACTCGACTCCATATGGTACAGATTGTGTACGTGCGTCTCTACATTACACGTCAAAACAATTCTTAAATTGGTCTTTCACCAATTGGTAGCCATAAGCTATGCTTAAAGATGGTTCTGCTTGGTAGTTACCAATTGTTGAACAACAATAGTCAGATGTATGGATAGAAGCTCCAGGTACGGAGTACAACATGTACAGTGCCTAAGTTACGCCAAAGATAGCTTGACTTCATTTGGGTCTAGTGCTTCGTCAGTTGTTCTAGGGCTGTTCGCAAGGGTGAAAGAGAATGAGAAAGAGAGAGAGAAGCGGTGAGAAGAGGCTGGTGGTCTTCTAAGGTCTAATCTAATGTCTTTGGTGAGGCTAGACTGTTGCAAGCTCCTGGTCAAGGTACACTACCAATACTAGGTAACTATTTATTATTATTATTATTATTATTATTATTATTGCTCCAATTATGCGCCCGGCAGGGAAATCCGATGGAGATTGAGGTTCGGGACCCAGACCTATGCATCCACGGTAAGCACACACCGTCACACACACCGTCACACCCTGCTGAAACGCTGCCAGGCGAATAACCAGCCGCATCGTATTCTTAGTAATGGGTGTCGTGGCCACTCAAAGTGCTTCTCCATCATCTGATGACGACTGATTCCGAGGATACCGTGCCCATTCAGATAACATTACTGTACATACTTTTTTTTTAGTATGTGCAGTAGTCAGTTACTGTACATAAAGATTACTTAAGTCGATGCATGCTGGATGCACCTAATGCTACTATGTACATGCTACTCGTACTCAGTAACTTAAAGGCCTGGCCTGTCGATCTCTTTAGCTCCCATTTCCCCGCGTCATAAAAAAGTCTCATAAGCTAAATGCTGCATGTAATCATAATCATCAAATCACTTCATACAAAACGCCCCTGGAAACCTTCCACGCTGCGGTCTGCACGTGGATTATTTGCCCACCATGGTTTGTTCAACAATAGAATCGCATCAACCACAGAGTAGAAAGCAGACGGACCAAAAGCAAGCACCATCTGAAACACCGTGCACCCACCGAAACAATAATAAACCCACCCAGACACCGAAGCCTCTCCTTGGAATGTAGGCCTTTGTTCCATTATGCTAATCTGCTCTCACAGCGTCAATTGAAAATCCTGAGCTTCCACATCTTCATTGTAAACTGGAAGGTCCTCTTCAGCAACCAAGATGGGAAGTCCATCGGCCAAAGACAACGTGCCAGAAGGATGCAAGTAAGTCTCTGGAGATAAAATGCCCTTCGGGGCCAGGTCCTGCTCGACGGGGGTAGCTGTTCTGCTACTCATCTTAGATGATACCTCGCGGCCTCGAGTGTACCCCAGAGTCGTTTTGGAATTGGCTTCAGCTGCGGTGTGATGCATGCTTGACGGGTTGTCCTGGGCTCGGGGCGTTTTGGTAGGAAACAAGGACGTGGCAATCCTTGCCCTTGGTTTGGCCAAAGCAGCTGATCGGGTGCGGGGAACCGATCGGTATGTCCCCGAGAGGGCGGTAGCGGCATCACGAGCACGTACGGTGGAAACATTGCTGGTGCTTTTGGTAAGGCCCGCAGTCGCTCTGGTACGGCGGGTTCCGACACGGCGGTTCACCGTCTCTTCCACAGCAGGCTCCTCCAGTTGTTCTGTTTCAGACGGCTCTTCGAAACTGATACTCTCAACCTGCTTCAGGATCATATCATCGATTAGTTTGTCACAGGCTGCCGAATCTTTCTGGAATTTGCGCTCTCTTCTAGTCAATCCATCAGGTCCGATTTCATTATCAGCCCCATACACGCTTTCCAACCCGCGTGCAAGGTTCCTCCCTTGAAATTGAGGGAACGTGGTATCGTAGGTAATTTCCTCAGGGTAGTCCGGAAGATCTGCTGCTGTTAGATACCATAGATTGGTACTAGTAAGTGAGTAACCAACCTTTAGGCTTGGGCGGCATGTACTCAATATCGGGAACGTCATCCTGCATATGCTTGGTGTGTGTTTCTGGCTGCGCCTGTTCGATGAAAGGGGAGAACTTCTTCACCCTCTGGGTCGACCCCCTTTTGAGAGACTTCTCTGGCTTTGCGGTGCCTCCGGGCGGGGCGGGGGTCTGTAGGCCTCTAGCTTTGGCATTGGTGGTTTTCATGCCCAAGGGGGCGCGTTGACGGGGGTCAGCTGGAAACAAAACGCGTCATATCAGTACATGGATCAGCTTCTGTTGTAGGGATAAAGCATCTCTACCATACCTAGTGGGGTCATAAAGGCATCTTTGATGCTTTCCTTCTGTTTACCTGCTCCCTTGACAGTCTTTTTTCCGAAAGCCAGCGGATCATTTTCGTCGTTCAATGGAATCTTGAAGGGCGTTTTGGGTGCTCGCGCTCCGGGTGTCTTCGGCTGTAGGTGTCTCAAGCCCTGATTCATGGGTTTTGATGCGGCGACCGTTTGGTGATTATGCACCAGGTTCTCTTGGTCGCGAAGAGCCAACATGGCGGCGGCTTACGAGTCACGACAGCGCATTCAAAGGCGAGAACCCGGATCGGTGTGAATCTGTCAAGTGTCGAATACGAAGACCCTTGCCAGCAACGAGTCTGGGGCAAGAGATGGCTGTCGAGCAGTCGAAGTGGTTCTAGACGCGGACATGACGAACAGCCAGGATGGGGGGGGGGAGGAGGAGGTGAGAAAGGGTGTTTGCGAGGCGGTTGCCCGTGGAGACGGGGCTGGTGAAAGGGGAAAGCCACACCGTGGTTCTACGGTCGCCTGCCCGTCAGCCACGGCCCCTATACCAGATCGGCTAAGACCCAACCCGCTAGTTGTGCTAGCGGCTGACCGCCAGCGCCAGGCCAGAAAGTCAACCTTACCTTAAGGCCTCCTCCTCCACTTCCCTTTCTTTCCTCCCTATTATTCCCATCTGTCCAAACTATCTTCTTGCATCAATCACTTCTCTGTCCTCTTTCCCTGGTTTGTCGCTGAGCGAAAGCCTGTTGTTGCTGCTTACATCCTACTCTCTTCCACTTCGTACATATTTCCTCGTTGCAAATAACTTACTTAAAATGGATAAGATTAAGGAGGTGAGTGTCAACCTGTCCCCCTCTTACCCCCCCTGTTGGCGGGGTAGCTTACAAGCTGCTGCCCCAAATGTCCACATGCACACCACCTATCGTCCTTGCCTCAAAATCTTGATCCTGCATATTTCTGCTGCAGGATAGTTCTCATAAATGGAAAAAAGCAAAATAAACTTTCCTGAGATGCACACTGACCTTGGCTGGTCTAGAGAATGAACAACCTCCGCCTGGAGGCTGAGGAGGCTCAGGAGAAGGTCGAAGAACTCAAGACCAAGGTGAAGACGTTGGAGCAGGAGAACTTGGCCAAGGAGCAGGAAATTACATCCCTCAACCACCGGAACCAGCTTCTGGAGGGTGAGGTGGAGAAGCTTGAGACTGCCCTTAAGGAGGCCAAGGACGCTGCCAACCAGGGTGCTCAGCACGATACTCAGAACGAAGCTCTCCAGAGACGTCTCCAGCTTCTGGAAGAGGAGGCCGAGGATGCCGACAAGAACTTGCGCGAGACGAACGAGAAGTATGTACTACCCACACCCTTTGCCTATATAGATGAGGGGAGGTTGATGCTGACTACCTTGGTACTTCTCAAGGCTCCGCCAAACCGACGTCAAGGCTGGTCACTACGAGCGCAAGGTGCAGGCCCTCGAAGCGTCTCGCGACCAATGGGAGAGCAAGTATGAGGAGATGGCTAAGAAGTACGCCGAGCTGCAGAAGGATCTCCACGAGCTCGAGGTCTCCATTAGCAATGTCTAAAGGCCAGGGTGGCGCAGAATACCGGCAACAGGGGGCCCCAGCTTTTTTTCCTACATATACTATCCTTTTAGCTTTCTATCCCTGCACACCACAGCCTGATTTTTTTCGTTCCTGTCGGCAGGAAGCGGCTTTGGCAGTCTCTGTCCGTCTTGTCATCTAGCTGGCTTTGTTATTGTTCCCATCAACCGGTTTTCCGCTCGTCCTCGCAACCTTGTCTATTCTTCCACTCGACGTCAAACATTTCATCGTTGCCAGAAGGTACATAGAGTATATTTAATAGGAGTGTCCATGTGCATTATCACCATTTGTTGATTAAACTCAAGTCAAGTCCACTCACGATCGCTCGCGTCGGGCGTTTGCCTTCCTCGATTTAGATGCGCGCTCCTTCATTCTGGTTACCTTGCGCTCTTCCTTGCTTTCGTAACGGAACTTTTTCTTCTTCTTCTTGGGCTTGTTGTCCGCCTTTCGCATCTTGCTTTGTTCGGCAGAGGGGTTGGGATCGGCAGTTGCTTTGGAGCCTGCCTCCGATTCTTCGTTTTCAATGTCTGATTCGTCGATCGCTGATCGCAAAAGTCCTTCTTTGGAAGTATCCATTTCCTCTACCGTCACCGTCGTATATTTGTCTTCGTCGATATATTCAGCTTCGTAGTCGACGGCGGGGGGTTCCGTGAACCCCTCCCAATCCTGATCCTCAACATCCTCGTCCTGGCTGTCCTGATCAGATCCATCGCTGCCCTCTTCCGCTGCCTGCAGCTTTTTGAGCTGTCTCTGATGTTCTTCGATTGCACGTTGGAAGCCAGCAGTGCGTTCTTCCCGAATCTGAGTAGGCGTTGCAATTAGCCTTGGTTGAGCGGCCTTCCACGGCGATTACACACAAGCATAGTAATCCTTACCCTCTTGCGCTCCTCTCTCTTCATCTCTTTCGCTTTCTTGATTGCCACTTCTTGTGCATGTTTGATTCTTTGTTGCTTCCGCTTGCGAAAGCCTGTAAGAAACGATTCGCGGTCAGCAGCGTCGAAGTTGATCTCCTCGACTTTGCTGGCGACCTTTCTTCTTTTGGCTTGAGGACCCATTGTCGTGGGTGGCAATGGGTGTGGCAGTCCAAAGAATATTGATAATGTATAGCGAAATGAAAAAAAAGAAAACCGATCTCAATCTTTCAAAACTTGCGCAGCGGAGTGACCATGCGATATTTCCGTGGGGGAAAATTGCGATCTAGAGCCCGGCATCTAACTTGTAAAGGAGGCTAAATAGTGCCCGTGCCGAAGTCGACCGCCTCCGAGCCGGCGGGCCATCACACCTGGCTCTAACATCATTCATTCACCTGGGGCCCTTCCGAAGAGCACTGCATCTATTTGGATAACTATACTCACCCAACCATCATGCGCTTGGGAGCTCTATCATTGCTCGCTCTGGGAGCGACTACAACCAGCGCATTCCACGATACTTCTCCCTTTTTTCTAGCGTCGACCTCGGAGTATGCACAACCAACATTGCGCGCAGGCGAACCTTCAGTATCCGAGAAACGAGTCAGCTAACAGCTCCCTTAGGAATCTTTCTGCCTCAGCACAGCTTAAGACTGCTTCTTCGCTACTGGAGGATCTCTCCTGGAAGCTTTCTGGTTGTCCTTCCGACTATTATGTTATTGCTTCCCAACCCGGCGTCCACAGCAACGACTTCTCTACACTCAAGTCCGCACCCCGCCTCGGCGCGAAATTGACTGGAAAGGATCACACCATCCGCTCGAGGACAATCATAAACGAAGTCGTTGGAGTTCTAGAAGCAAGGAAGGTGCAAGAACTTATAGAAGCGGAGTGTGGAGCTCAATCCACCATCATTGACGCCTCCTGTAAGCACCTGGATCTGGGCAAGCTGCACAGGACAACCCGGGCTAACTCTCTTTCTCTTAGCTGGTATTTACTCACCCGACTTTGGCGCTGAGCCCCGTGTGATCCGCCTCGACTTCCCTGTACTTCCACAGGGAACTGATCGCCGCCTCCAGCTTTCAGATAATGGTCTGTATCCAAGCAATCTCACCTTGATTCTCTCCCGAAACACGGTACTAACAGCTTTGACAGATGGCCTTCTTTCCGACATCATCGAACGGCTACCGGATTCCAAGAAGTACACTGTTCTCTACATCACTTCGCCTAGGGAGACACTGAGCTCTGAAACCGGTGTTTACCAATCTGAGGATGCTTCCTACCAGGACCCCCTCCACATGGATTTGAAGCGGGACTTCTTGGCACATGGTCTTGGGGATGATGCCCCCTCAAACAAGACTCTTTTCCGCGAATACCACTATTTCACTCCAGGTATGTGTAGAGTACCCCAGGCCATGAACCACTCCCATCTGACAGCAAACAGGCATCATTATGGGGCTGATGGCTTCCTTTTTCTGTCTTCTGATCTTATATGTTGGCCTCAGTGCTCTCCTGAGCCTCGAGGTTCCGTACGCGGCGTTTGAGAAGGACATCTCCGCCAGTGTGCAGAAGAAACAGCAATGATTTGTTCTTGATCTCTTGCGGAAGACTTTGCTTGAACGTGTCTAGCTTTTTGATTTTGTCCTTTTAAGCACAGTATATTTTGGTTTTGAAATTCATGCATATTTGTATGCTGGCGTTTCATCTTCTCTATGCGATAAGTCATGATGCTGTACGGAGTGCGATGTATGCTATATTTGGGTGCATGTCCCTGGATCTGGATGTTATCGATAATAGCCACGTGACTGGATGGAATGCGGGCATTTGGAGGTCAAGATGCGATTACGGTTCAGCTCAATTTGATAACCAATTGATACTTGGGCTTTTCGTCCCCTGGTCTTGCTAGAGCATCAGAAGGGCCCCTACTCCTACTTACTCAAATCAATTACCCGCCGATTCATGAATGGCCATAAATAGCACCTGTATCTCCATCACGTGATAGTCTGAGTAAGGCAGGGAGGGACGCCGGTCCAGACGGCCGAACACGGGGCAGCCCACCCACACCACAGCCCCCCCCCCCCGTATTCCTATTGCCTCTTCTTTTCTCTGCTGATTATGTGTTATCGTCCGTTGTCGTTGCACTTGTGTATCGTGAATTCTTACCGCGCCCACTCGCTTGCCCATATTCCTTGACTTTCGCTACTCAGCATGGCTCTTTTTTGATATTACTGTCTAGTCTCTGCATAGTCGTTCGTTAAGACTGCTGACGATCTGATCTTGTTCGCTTCTTTGCTGATCTTGGACCCTCTTCTGCTGGGTGGAGACTCGCCTGATAGTGCTCACCCTCATCCCCGTCGTGTCTTTGGAGACAGCCGCTGTTGATGGGCTCAGTCTGCAGGAACGTTCGTTCTCATATGCTTGCTGTGGCTATGCCCAGTTACGTTCTGCGCTAGCCATTCAACGCACTTATCGACATCGCACCCTATTGAAGATCTACCTCTTAGCAGTTTGCGATTACCACCCACAATCATGGTTGCTCTGTTTAAGGGCATTGGGAGAGCCCACCGGCCTTCTTTCACTCTACTTCTTGTGTTGTTTGTTATGCTTGTTGCTCAAATATCCGTAGCCCAAGATGTGACCACGGATGATAATACTACAACCACCACAAGTGTGAGCTCGACAGCAGAATCGACTACAACATCATCGTCGTCGTCGTCGACAAGCACTACTACTAGCTCGTCGAAGAGCAGCTCCACGACATCGGCCTCGACGACATCAACTGGTACAGATACCTCATCCACGTCGACATCGGCATCCTCGTCCTCCTCAACAGATGGTTACCCCGTCGTCACTGTGCCACCAACTGCAGATGCGCCATATATGCAAAAGTCCAACATCCCGGAGGGTACCCTGTTCATCGCCGTGGGAGCAGTTCTGGGAGCTATTGGGCTTGCAATCCTAGCATGGCGCGGCATAGTTGCATGGTCTGTGAATCGTTCTGTGCGCCAAGCCGCAATGACGCGCTCGTCCGAATCGAAGGGCCTTCTGCGTTCGAAGAGAAGAAAGTCGCGCACTAGGAGGTCCTCTTCCGCGGGCCCTGGCGTCGCCCTCGACAAGCTTACTCACCAGCATCACCGTCACAGCCATCACAGCCACCGACAGCACCGAACCTCCAAGGGCCCCAGTGCCAACAGCGGGCTCTTCTTCTCACCGACCGCCGGAATGCAACACGGCAGCGGAAACCGCCGTTCGAGCTACCTCCCGGCGGGCTACTACAATGCCAACAATGTGGGAAACAATGTCCGCACTCAAGATGCGCGTTACTCAGCTGCCGACCTGACGGGGCTTGGGGGTCCTCAAGCGCAGGGCTACGTCCCGACCCGATCCGGCTCCAGTCCCCCTGAGTCCCCGGGTCTGCCCCAGTATCACGATCAGCAGGATACCCCTCCTCGTCGCAACGCCAGAAGGTCTCACGCCGAAGCTTCGACGAGCACGCTGAATCTAGCTTCCCCGCCAGCGGGAAGAACTCCCAGCGCATATTTGGAAGATCTCTTCGATAGTCATCCGCCTCAAAATCGGGACTGATCTGTGTCCCAAACTGGATGGCTGAATGTTCGAAACTACTGCCCTAATTCTTCTCAACGCGCATCTTCCATTCTAGTTCTAGAAATCTCAGTTCAGCCCTTTACCCATTTCTGTGTGCATCTTTTATATTACCCTGTTCTTCAAGTCACGCGGCATTTTTTCACTTCTGTTGTGTCTGGTATAAAGCTTATATTCTCGAACATAGTGGAATTGTCTAATAGCAAATCCTGATGAAGTAACCATTGCATATCCTCTCGGCGTACCGCCCCGTACTCAATTGCCCGCGGGAGTTGGCAGGTATTTGGAGAACGTCCGACCATTCCCATACTAGTCATCTGTGGATTCGGGAGGGGTTTACCATGCCTTTCTACTGCGGGTTGGTAATGGCGTCACCTGACTGCCTCTGCGGCAGTTGATTTTCACCTTACGATAACAATTTTGAGAATGGAAGGCATCACGTGCTGTATTCTAACATGGGAGAACAAGACAATCACATGGTATCCTGATGCGGGTATGCGGGCCGCAGAGACAAAGAAATCAAGACTACGACTCGGGAACGGGTGGAAGATTCAAAACTTAGAAAACGTCTATAGATATACAATATATACGAGGCGAAGACGATCTAGAAAGCGTCTACGCCGGATAAATCAGTCCGCATCCAGCTTACCGCTGAACTCGCCGAGCAGAATATCATCCGGAGCTGGGCCGCGGCTGTTCCTGACTGTCGTGTCGCAAGGTTAGCCGTGCGTCACACAAAGAAAAGAAAACGTGGTGAAAGCAGGGAACTCACTCCACTCGGTCTCTATGCGTAGGAAGATCCACATCCATCGGCGTGCGACCTCGAGAAACATGAGGACAAAAATTCCGAATTCCGTGTCACTTAGCCAGCCGAGACCTGGCACATATCTCGCGAGCCACGAGAAGCGGATGACGAAGTCGATGCCAACGGCAACGTAGTACTGACGATCAGCGAAGAACCGGTGGCGACGAAGGCCAAACGGATACTCTGGACTGTCGCGCAACGGCGACAGAAGGGTCAGGTCCCAATCCTTGGTGACGTCCCAGTAGAATGAATATGCGGAGTTGGTCAGAGTGCAGAGAAACCTAGTGACGCACGAAGATTAGCCTCCAACTAGTCGGTCTGCGGCTCAGGCGATTAGAGATGCTTACAAAAGTCGTGAGAGACCGGTCTCGCTGAATCCATAGAACTCCAGGGGGTTATAGTTCCTCAATTTTGCCGTGAGCATGATGACGGGAAATGCGGTAGCGTATTTCAATGCGTTAGCCAGATGTTGGCCTCCCGTGTTCCCATTCTTGTGACCGCCTTGCCATACACGGAAGTATTCGATGAGACACTGACGTAGGCGGATCATACTGGGAATGGAGATGACAAGTGGAATCAGGTAGTCGTTCCCACATTTACGATTCGGTTTCGATGTACTGCCCAGATCCCCGGTGAAGAACATGCAGAAGGAGACAACCAGATCTCCTAGAACTTTCGAGTAGCTTGTCAAGGCATCAGCCAGGAGAATGTCCCCAAACTTGCCATCTTGGGGCTGCGCCAATCCACCAACACAGATGCGCTTCAAAGTAGTAAACAGGCGGAATCGGCCTGAGCGCGCGACCCGTATGAAGGGCTGAATCAGAATAATCGCGGCAATGAAGAAGTATGATTGCGGGATGTAATCCAACGACTCGACACGTTGTCTGGAACCGTGGGTGAAGGGCCAGAAGATGAGAAGTGATATCACGAGAGGGATGGTCAGGAGAGTAGCTAAGCGGTAGGCGGAGATGTAATGAGGTGGATGGCTAGCTGACTGGCGGTGGGGGTATCGAATGAGAGAGGGAACGTCCTGGAGGATATTAGACAAGATGTCATGAGAAGGAAGGAATAGGATAGAATGAGAGGGGGGGGGGATTAACCTACAATATTCGCTTTTGAGAGATACTGCAGATTGGCACCCCATCCCCAGAACCCTGTCAGGAACAATTAACAACGATCGAACAGGGTTGAAGATAAGAGAACAATTAATATTGAATAATTAGCATACCAGCCAGTAAGATTACCGCCACGCGCGAGGGGAAGGGAAGGAAAAGACTGAAGCCATCCAATTGAGCATGCTGATCAGGACCCATATTCCATTGAAGTAGCGGCGCCGGTTTCTGTTAGCACCTGGGGCCTGCGAAATAGGGAGATCAGGTCGAGGACTGGGGGATTGCAAGGGAAGTAGATCCCGGGCAAGAGGAATGAGAAAGCCAGCAAGGTATGGAAGCAGAGAAGGAGGGGGAGAAAAAAGAAGAAGAGGAGGAGGAGGAGGTACTCAGGGTGAGTTTGACGAGCACGAATACTCAATCACTCAGTCAATTCAATTCAATCATGACCGACCCGCAAAGGTGAACCTCACAAAAGACCAGACAAAAAGAAGCTCAGGGACGGTTTCAGTCTCGACTGACCAGCGGCTCCGCGCGGCTTCTCGGGTTTAGGATGCGTACTGGGTCCCGCTTTCGGTCTAGCGGCGCTTCTTGGCGCTGGCTTCCAATTTTGGCTGCATCGGTCAGATCACGTGAGCACTGCCGAGGTATCTTTCAATCCACCACTCCGTACTCCGTACATGCAGTACGCGGGCGGAGCTCCGCGATAGCTAACTACTACACCCATCATCTCAAGCCAAGCTGATGACTTTTCCCTTATTACCTCCCTGGTTATCTAGCCTCTCTCCTCCTCGCGCTCCGCTCCACTTACTTCACATTGTTTATCGTCCTCTCTGGTCGCTCTTCTCACAATGGCTGACGAAAATCTCTCAATAAGCACCGCCTCGGCTCCCACTACCTCCATACGTCCCTCGGGCCACTTCTACCCTTTCGCTACCTCGCCGGATATCATCCGCTCTCACGAGAAGGATGTCTTTCTCTCCGCGAGCTTGACCAACCAAGCTCAATCCATCGCCCGTTCCCTTCGTGGGGCTCGATTCGCCCATACGCACTCCGAGGCCATCAAACGACTGACCGAGACCTTGTATTTCTCCCTCACCACATTGATCGGGAATCGGACATTGGGCGAGGAGTACTGTGATCTGGTCCAATTAGAGGACGATACACTGCAACTCCCTTCCCTCCCCCGGCGGGTCGGATACATCCTCAGCAGCATTCTACTCCCGTGGGCGCTTCAGCGGATCCTCCCCGCATTCCGACAGCGATTGCGAGCCAAACTCGAACGTAGTGTTGCCCGCCAGCAGGTCAAGAACGCCCAGACCAAGAGCACGCGAAACGATCAGCGCGACCAATCGGGCTCTTTCTTCACCAAGCTGCGGATACAGCGATATATCCTGGAGCACCTCGAATCCATCACGTCGTTGTCGCCCATTTACGCCGTCAGCATCGCGACCTTCTATTTCACCGGCGCCTACTACCACCTCTCGAAGCGCTTCTGGGGCCTGCGTTATATTTTTACCAAGAAGATCAAAGAGAACGAGCAGCGGGTAGGCTACGAGGTTCTGGGCGTGCTTCTCGTGCTGCAGATCGCAGTTCAGGGAGTTCTGCACATCAAGAAGGTGGCCGTCGGCCTGCAGCAGGAGGACCAGGACCTTCACGCAGCGGACGCTAGAGCGGCTGGCGGTCAAGGCGATAAGGCGATAACCTCCGTTGAGAATCCGTCTTCGCTTCCGCTTTTGCCCGCTAGCCGTGCCCGGTACGACTTCGCCGAGGACCCGAACGCTGTTCCCTGGATACCGGCTGGCCAACAGCGCAAATGTACCCTGTGCCTAGAGTTGTTTAAAGATCCGAGTGCTACCACTTGCGGTCATGTGTTCTGTTGGACATGTGTTCGAGACTGGGTACGCGAGAAGCCGGAGTGCCCGCTCTGCCGCCAGGAGATCCTCCTGTCTAAAGTGCTACCCTTGAGAGGGTAGTACTAGTCTAAGAGGCGTCCCACCTAGTCCCGTCGCATACTGCTTTCTTGGCATGTTTTAGCGTTGCAAATTGCTTGTTTCAAATATACCCTTCCAATTTAGAGATATATTTTGACAGTTCCTGCTTGGATCGCAGCCATCTGTCAAAGTCCTGGCTCACATCTATACATCTCTGAATACTTCGTAGAAGATCCCCAATGCCTCCCTAATATAAGTTTAAGGGACGTATTGCGTTTATAGCTCCCTTTTGACAGGCTAACAGTAATCCGATCACAGTATGCCGATATGACGGGCAAATGATGCAAATGCACATCCCTGAAACGTTGCGGTGAGAGGCACTGGTCTGTTTATTTTCAGAAAGAGGAACCGTATCTGTTCCCTGATATATATACGGACTTTATGTCATTAAATGGTACACTTTGAGTTTTCCGGAGCATCGCCGGGTTGCACTACTTCGACTTCTTCCAAGTCGGCAGTGACAGGCGCTTTGCACACAACCCGGATAGGTATATTCAGTTCGGCGTGGGCAGGGAGAGGGGGCGTGGGGTCCAGCGCTTGCCGTTTGGCGTCCATCTTGTCATATAAGCAGACGCACGCGTATGGGTCAGACGCAGCATCTATCGTGAGCCCCGTCAGCTATTTTCAAATCTTCTTTGGTCAAGGATCAAGTGACACTCACATTGGACCTGGCGATAGTTCAAGGTCGCCGTCCACTCGCTGCACCGCACGGTCTCTTCTTTTTGCAAGGGTAGCCCGAAATGCTCCTCCACCTGTTCACTCAGATTGACCAGTCGTTTGTTGATCAGTTTTGGGTTCGATTGGCAGTATTTGATCAGCTTGTGAAGATGGCTAAGCTCGAAAATCCCGTGCGCGTCTATTTTGAGAAACTTTCGGAGACGGGTGCAGTCCGCCTTGATCGACACGCCAGCTTTAGTGATTGCTGGATCTTCGATAATACGCTTCAGCGTAGGTGGTACAAGATCGGCGATTCCTCTTGCCGGCTTGAACAGTGCCACGTGAAAGAGCGCAATGCGGTGGCGGTTCGCGATCTGAATCAGCGAAACGTTGTCTTGGATGCTGCTCCATGCCGAAGCCGAGGCCTTCCATTCCAGGTCAAGCCCAAGGAGATCATCCTCTAGAAAAAGCTGTGCGATATCCTCGCTACTTTTTAAGCTCCTGCAATAGTGCACAACAATGTCTTTCCCTTCCGGGCTCTTTTGTAATTTGTGGCTCCAGAAATCCGGAGTTATGGGGTTCCCGGCTGTGTCCTTTTGAAGCTGTTGGGCTGCAAAATGACTCTTGATAGAATCCATGGGGCAGCTGCTGGTCTGATCTACTGACGCGGATGGCCCTTTTTGAGGACCCTTGAAAAAAGTCGATGCCTCAGGCTTCTGCAGGGTTCCGAGCGGCCCCAGATCTGAGGCGATCGATGTATTTGAGCTATATGATCGCCTCATCTCTCCCAGGCACGTTCTCTTGGGCTTTCGCCCCTGATGGTTCCAGACCCCCATCCGAGACACGGAAGAGGCACCTGAAGGCACCTGAAATGAGCCCTGGGCTCCATTGGAAGAGACTGAAGGTCGACTATATATGTCAAACCATGGCAGGGTTCTGCGTCGCTTGGGGCCACTAGTCTCTGGTTGGGAATTCATGGTCAAGGCTGGCTTCGCCAATGCGGCGTAGAATCTGCCCGTATAGACGCTTGGTCCTGGCTGCTGGCTCGGGGCGCACGGCCTGCGTAGCGACCTTGAGCTTGCCGCCAACAAAGCCTGGTCTGGCGATGTAAACCTGTATTTATGGTCAATCGGGGTCAAGGATACGAGTAGAAGAAGGGTGCGACCTACCGTGTAAGTGCCGACGCAGTGACAAGCATCTTATGAGGCCGAAAGGCTAAAGAATGTGGAAATGCTGTCCACGCGCGGTTCCTGTTTTGTCCCTTGTGATAGCAGGGCGCTTAGTGCGTATTAAGAGGATTTAGACGAGGCTCAACCAGAACATGCTCTTAAGCTTCAGTCGATCAAAGAATTCCAAAAGGGAACTGAAGTCTCAGCTATTTACATTGAAAATGGCGGTGTCCAAAGAGACACGTTGATTGCTTTCCATGAAAGTCGGTAAAATATGGTACCTGAAGAACCTCAGTAAAGAAGGTGGTGTACAGTAGGTAAGGGAAACACGCCGCGGCGTCACGGGTATTGTTAGTCAACTTGCTCCCTGATTGGGTTGAGTGAGCGGGCCGGATAAACGCGAGTTCCAGCGAAGATGCCAAGATTGTCTGGATGGATTCAACACTGACCGTTTCCGCCCACCGCGTCGTTTTCTAGATCAAGTATCTTGTGCTCCTGTCGTACTGTGAAAACCCTGAAGACTCCTCCTTTGTCGTTTTTTCCCTTCTTTCCTCGGGGTCTTCTTGAGCTTTGTACCAACTTTTCTCGATCTGGTATCACTGTTGGCCGAAACCTCTCATAATGGCTTCTCAACTTCTTCCTCTTGGTAATTCATTGAATTATATGGATATGCATTGACGTGACCGTGCTAACCCTCGGACTAGAGCTGATCGACAAGTGTGTCGGCTCTAGAATCTGGGTTATTATGAAGAATGATAAGGGTTGGTGCCGGCAACCTCCTTTCTTTCCCGGAAGACAGAATGATTAACTTCTTATCAAACAGAGTTCTCTGGTACATTGCTGGGATTTGATGACTACGTCAGTAAGTGGTCAAATTCTCTTCTGTCCTACTAGTATCAATAATCTAATTTTTCTTTCAGACATGGTTTTGGAAGACGTGACAGAATTGTAAGTGTCTTCGACTGCGTATCCTGCTCTGGCTACATCATGCCATCGCATTGAATCGCCCTGCAACTACCAGAACATGGTCCGATCTACGTACTAAGTGCTATCAGCGACTACTCTGGTGCGCAAGTTAAGCTCCCTAAGATATTGCTCAATGGCAATAACGTTTGCATGGTGCGAGCCCTTCCTGCTTTCGTGTCCACCAAGCTAACAAGATTGCTCAGTTGATTCCTGGAGGCGAAGGGCCAGTTGGTAGCTCATGAACCTCATGATGTTCACGATATTTCAAGCTCTGTTTTAATTACCCAATGAATATTGATGACTGTATTCCAATCATGTCTTTTAAGGCCAATAGCTTCGCAGGGCGTTCTTCATCCCTCCATTCAGTCAAGAGGGGATCTGTCTCCTGTTTTTTTTTCAGGCGTGCAATCGATGTGCAGATGCATGACTTATGGCAATTCAAGATGGCCCTCTCCAAAAGGTACATATCTATCAATCAGCGAAGCAAACAGGCACGGGTTCGTCAGTCGCATATTGGTGTGAGATCGGGTCAGAATGCTCTTCAAGTGGCATCGACACGCCTGGATAAGATTTTTTCGGATCAGTATAGAACTGACCAGCATTTGGGGGCTTTGTCTGAATTCAGCGCTTGCTCAAACAAGTTGCTAGCTTGATTTAACCGCGCTCCAATTGTCCGAATCCTTCTAGTTTCGTGAGCAACCTGTTCATCCATGAGTAGTCGACATTCGTGTATCTGAAGTGCATCACGCGACCGTGATTTCAACAGATGACCCGGTTTTATCAGGGCCCAGTCCAGTCTTTATGCAATGACAAGACCCGCGCCGAGGTTGTGATTCGATTCCCTGCATTCAATCACCGGGGATGTACTTCATTTGTCTTTTTCTCCCCAAATCGACTTTCGTTGACCCGGGCTATCAAAGGGAGTAGAGATCAGAGTGTCAGGCTGCGGTCGATAGATTATCTCTTAGGCGGTTACTGCTGCCTGCAACATTCAGCGAGGGTGACTCTTGAACCGAGGTAAAAGAAAATATGAGGGGAAGAAGGAAGTATAACATGGTTCAGTCTTACGCCCTCGATAGCCAAGACGAGAACTCAAGCCGACTAATGAGTGATGTCAGGATACGATGGATAGATCGTAATTCATAATTCGAGCAACCAGATGAACATCATTCAAAGAGGTTGATCCCTTTCTGGTCAGTCCCCTGAGAGTGCCCGTCCAAGAACAAATCTTCGTATCGCCAGTGGACCAGACCAACTGCATGACTGCGGAAGAAATGAGAACAGAGAGATTCTTGGAAGCAAACTTAAGTGTCAGCTACCCCAGATATTTCCCACCGACTGGGGCCGAGTGGAAACTGTTAGGTAATAGCTTCGGCTCTTTCCCCGCATTTTCACCCATTGCCCGCCCGCCCGCATTAAGGAGATAACCCTAAATGGCCGTCTGTCCCCAAACTCAACGTCGGATGAGTTTGAATGAGGTTGGCAGATTGAAAAGTGAAAAGTGAAAAGTGAAAAGTGAACCGGCGACTCCGAGTCCGATCGGAGGTTGGCCCGACTTCGAGTTTCGAGTTAAGTGCAAAGGGCTAAACCGCTCGCCGGTTCTCGGTGTTAGAGATCAAGACCGCCCCCAACGACCGGCAGCATGGGCTGATAGTCAGTATTAGTTAGTAACTATCTGTCATGACTGTAGCTGCACAGCTTGCATTGTTTAACAAGCTTATATCATCTATGTTCACGTTTAATTAGTTACTTATAAAGGCTGCGCGGAGGTATGCAGCCACCAGGGGAGGGTCAGGTTGCTCGGAGGCTGGGCTTCTCCCGGAGGCACAGTTCGCGATCGATAATTGGCTTTCGGGGATGCCGCAGGCTCCGTTGCCCGGGCTCGCTCAGTGTAAACTAAGGTAACATCGCGCGAAAGTATATCAGGGCCAAGGGACTGACACCACCCAAGGTGTGGTAAGTTTTGTGTGAGTGTCGTCCTGGTATTTCCACAGATGGCTAGACTCGGGTTGAGACAAGCCTCTACCCTACTAGTAGTCGTATTCACCTCTTCTCTTTTCTGTGCCATATTGAAAATGGGCGGCGAATTCACCTGTCGATGTGCAGCCGTTGGGTCGTTCTCCAAAAGTATTATTTAGCCAATGATGCTAGTGTCTGAGAATTGCTCCTCTTTCTTCACGTGCCGAACATCCCAGCATCATGACCCGTCGTCAACCCGTTTTCTTGTGACACTACATGTCTCAGTCAACAGGGTATACTGCAGCAGTGTAAGGCTGATGTCCTCCTTGGCTGCAACCATCACGTATTGGTTCATTCTGCAAGACCGGCTAGCGAAAGCCACAGCCTGATGCCCGGCCCGGTCCTGTAGCTGCGATGATTTGCTCGATCTCATCAACAATCTGGCGTCCCAACCGCCCTGATAAAGCTACAAGACGAGCAGAAACCTGGCTAGGCGTGTCTCCATTGACTTCATTCTCCTCCAAAAAGAACTCGGAAGATGAGTCGAGCGGGTATCTGCGGTTGCATTACGAGGACGGAGGGGAGCAGGGTCACACCATCCTCCTCAGTTTCGTTCCTTTCATGGTTTGGCCAGATGAGTGTAACACCACCCATGCACAAGTGGGATGTTTGGCTCAAAAGCCACAGCAACAATACTGAACGACAGTTTGGTTTCGCTGCCGTGAGCAGTCAACCCTGGCCGCGGGAGAAGGATTCTACCTAACCGGTTGACACTAACCCTTCTCTACATTGACCTCCGTCGCCATGACAGGGGGAAGTGTGCGAATCGACCTCCAGCTTAGGCGATTTTTGCCGGATCAGGGTTCGCGACAAGACAGACTCGATCCTTCGGGACTTTCGAGAACTTCGAGAACAAGACGAAGAAGACAATTGGAATAAGAGGTGGAAGATGGTGACAGTCACCACGCAGGGAGGTATCTCCGTTGTACTCCGTAGATCTACAGAACAGGGATTGTCAAAAAGGAGTGTACGTCAGCCACCCGCAGCGACCATAAGCCTCTGATCGCATTTCTGGAGGTTGGTGATGATCTTCTCACAGGAGACAGCATACACAAAGATACGGGTATATGTGTACTGTTCATTGTTTAATGGTGACATAACAATCTGAAAGTCAAGGTAACATATACACGCAGCTATCTGCTGGATGTGGCAGAAGGAACTGCAGGCAGAGACTCGAGAGATGAGCACCAGGCCTTTGACTGAACAGTCCCCAGGAGTACCGAGGCTAACCTCTTATCAAACATTTGCCTTCCAGCTCCTTGATTGGCTCTCGCTTCGCTGCGTGAATTAAATTTCGGGTAGGTAGCTGCATGCCTGAGGGATGAAGTCCGTTTACCGTCGGACATATTCTAGGAAGGATGGAGGCGCGTAAGCACGCGGAGGGGCTTCTAGACACATTCCAATGATGCGATGTGATGTAGGCATGATTTTCTATCAGGGGGAGAAGAAAGAAAAGAAAAAGAAAATCAATTATCAGGAAATCCAGAGATAGCGGCCATTGATAATGATAAACCCGATAGCTATCAATCGCCTGCTTAGACTTCATAGATAAGAGAGACTCCACTTGAAAGACCCTGGCCATGAAACCCAACTTTACTTACTTGCAGCAGCACACGTGTTGACTGTAGGCAAAATTGCCTACAACCAATTCATCATAACTATCACACCACGATTGACTGACTTCTTCTTAAGTCGTAGGTGGGTGTGTACTTATTGGGAAGGATGATGCCACCTTTGGCTATTGGTTCGGAAGTTCTGCACTAGCAGTGGCGTTGGAACCTTAAGGACGAAGTTATTACATACGTAGTAGCTCGGAGAGGACCAGGGCTTCAGTGGCGGAACCAAGGTCAGCTGCTGCTGTTTCGGCGCTGATTCTGGGCACTTGAAATGCTGTTTTGCATCTGAATGTGGAGCTTGGTTGAGGCTTTGATCATATTGTAAGTTAGAGAGCTATTTCATCCAGTGGAACTATAACACTCGAGATGATAATGAACAAAGAGGACAAGATAAACTACCAAATAGCAACGCAAGATGAACTGTACCTACCTATGGGGCATAGCAGAAGGTACGTAGTAACTACGGCGTAAATTACCCAGTAGGTACCTAGTAGTTAACTAGTGGTGGGATACTCCGTAGATACCCACTGATAAGTGGCTATGGGGACTCCGGGCGGGCTAGTCATGGTTGGGACTAGTCCGGTATGAAAGGTTTCCTTCCCATGTCGTGTGGCTGATTGTGATTAGCAAGTCAGCTGCTGGTAACTGCGCACTTATCAATCCTAATTGTCAAGCAAAAAGTAACGGTGAATAATGCTGCAGATGGCAGCCAATCAAGATGCAGGCATGCTCAATCATAAGGTGGCAATCAACCCCGTTCATGAAATCAAGAGATTCACAAGATACTCCCCCAGAATATCAATCGGATGCACCACGCACCACCACCTACAGTGGCCTAGCCACCATCAATTTTAGTGAATTGACAGTAAATAAGGCCCCTCTTGTAGTCTAGCTTCCCCCAGACTGGTCCCACTTCAAGGTTCCGAACCCAGAGAGTTTCCTGCCCGTTTGGCTCGGCCACATGGATGGTAGGTAGACAGGGAGGTATACCGTATCAATGCTTGCAATGCAATAATCTGGCCCACCCCTCCTCTTCCTTCTCCATGCTGATTGATGGTGGATAATTACCCCCGAAAGCATGGATGTCAGTCAATTAAGCCAGACTAGCTAGGCAGCGTTTATTCATTTGTTCCATCTCACTGCGCTCTGAAGGCTGATCTTCCCCATTTAAATACTGGCTGGCATCCCATGTCAATCCATGAGGGCTTCCGAGCTTCTTAATTCTTCCCCCTCCTCTGATCCCTCTTTGCACCCCCGCTAGCATTGCTCTGTTGTGATCGCAGCAGGCAGTCCAACACATTGTGCCTCGGATTAGCGTGGCTCGCCGGAGTGGCTCAGTAACACACATTCACTCATCGTAGCCTAGCACTCAAATACGCCAGCAGCTGCTCTGCACAATCACTATCACCTTATCTTGTTTCTTCTCCTTCTTCTCTTCCTCGACCTCGACCTTCCCATACTGAAAGTCTCTTTCTAATTGTGCAAGCTTGCTGCCCTACTGAGTTCCTAGTGCCTTGTGCGAAACCATACTCTACTCTTACCCTTTCAGCCATGGAGAAAGATTTCATGGAGCCGAAATATGAATCCAAACCCGAGGCCTCCTCGGCCGCCGACCCTCCGCCGTCCTATGGAGAGACCGAGACAACTAAAGGAAGCTTTGGTCAAAGAATCTGGGACAGTTTCAAGAGAGATCCTAATGCACAAGTGACGGCCGCCGAGCACTCGGGTGCCGATGGATCGGCATTCGATATCGAGGAAGCTGCACGGAAGACTGCTCAATCCCCTCTGCAGCGCAAGCTTAAAGGCCGTCACCTTCAGATGATCGCTATCGGTGGCTCAATTGGTATGTACCCCTATATGGCCCCTGGTTCTTGCATAGATGGCTCACCTGTTCCTCAGGTACTGGTCTCTTCGTCGGATCCGGATCAGTTTTGGCTGCGGGTGGTCCTGCATCGGTTCTGATTGCTTACGCGTTGATCGGCTGCATGCTTTACTGTACCGTGCACGCGCTGGGTGAAATGGCCGTTTTGTTTCCTGTCGCTGG